CCCCTGAAATCCTTTTTGATGTAATAGTCTTGGCCCCTGGGGACCATCACCGGCCATGAGGTCACGTGTTCCCTGCTTACAGCCTCGTCCACGCTGAGCACGGTCCCAGCTGCGTTGCCACTGGGCACCTTTGGCGCTACCCATGGCGCGAGATCACTGGGCCCTGAAACCAAGGTAAGCGAGAGCCAGTACCAGTCCCGAGCCAACCCTGGTGGGCACAGCCCGCGTGTGCGGCCTCAGCCGTCACATGAAGACCAGGGCAGCGCTTACCTGCATGGTGGGCCGTGGACACGCACTCCCAGAGGGCCAGCGAGATCCCGTGCGTGGCACCGCCGGAGGACAGCACGGGGGGCAGCTCCCACCCCCCAGACCCTCTCCTAGGAGAGACGGAGCTACCAGCGTGGGCGGAACCTCAGGCCAGAGACAGGCTGGTGTCAGGGAAGTGGGGAGCCACGGCGGCCACACGGTGGCCACACGGCGGCCAGACAGGGGCGGAGTCGGATGGGCGGCATCACCTGGGAGCAGATGACTCAACCTCTGAGTCAGGGAGCCAGCAGGGCGCCTCGTGTTCTCTTGTGCCTCAGTTTCCCTTTCTCCCAAAGGCGGGGCATGAGTCTCTGGGCCTTCCCGGGAGCAGGCAGAGGGCAGGGCCTCTCCTGCCTGTTCAGGCACCCGGGAGGCCAGTTACTCGAAAGAACGAAAGAACGATCAGAGGGGCAGCAGCGAAAGCACAGAGGACAGGCTGTTTGCGCAGCATGTGGTTGGCCGGGTTCGATCCCTGGCACCCCCAAGGGCCCCCGGAGCACCACCAGGAGTAATTCCTGAGCACAGAGCCAAAAGTAAGCCTTGAGCATCGTTGGGTGTGACCCCAAATAAGCAAGAAAACAAAACAAAAACCCAAAGGGATGTGCGAAGGCGGGAACTGCTTGGAGCCCTGGGTTTGGTCCCCAGCACAGCCCATGGCCTCCCCGCCCCCCACCCCGGCACCATGTGGAGCCCTCGTGGCCCCCACAAAACTGGGCCTGAGGGCACTGAACCAGAGACCCACACACCCCGTCACCAGCTCCTGCACCCTACGCACCACTGGGGAGCATCTCCCCCCAAAACATGTGAGCACTCTGGCCAGGAAAGCAAGCCGAGAGAGCAGCACAGCGCCTCCCGATGGATACGACAGGAATGTGCGGGCCTCCAGTGTGCTCGTGGGAGCGCCGAGAATCACCCTGGGGCATGGCCAACAGAGGGAGGAGACTCAGAGGGGAAAGTGAGGAAGCCAAGGAAAGGACCTCCGAGGGTCACTGCGTGCCAGAGCTCACGCCTTCCATGGGTGGGGCCCTGCGTTGGGGTCTTGATTCCAAGAGTCCCCCCAGCATGGCCCCACCTCATAACAACACCACTAACAAGAGAGCTGGACACACAACAGTCCCTAGGATCTGTGAAAGAAATGACCAAATCGAAGTGGCCTGTGTGTGTGTGTGTGTGTGTGTGTGTGTGTGGCGGGGTGGGGTGGGGGAATGGCTCTGGCTCTGGTGGTCTTGGCACAATCCTCTTCCAGAGAAGCTTCTTCAGGGAAGCCACAAGATGGGAAAAAGATGAAAAGAGAAGACACAGGAAAGAGACTGGGTGGCACAATGCTGTTCCCCAAGCCCTAATGCTGTCCCCTGCACCCCAAAGCCATTGCCCTCACCCCGATGCTGTTCCCCTCACCTCAATGCTGTTCCCCTCACCTCGATGGTGTTCCCTGCACCCCAATGCCGTTTCCCTCACCCTGATGCCGTTCCCCTCACCCCGATGCTATTCCCCTCACCCCAATGTTGTCTCCCTCATTCTGATGCCGTTCCCCACACTTTGATGCTGTTCCCTGCATCCTAAGAGCACCCGGCCAGCACCACTGAGAACCCAGCTCCCAGCTCAGATGCTCCAGCTGCGCCTGGGCAGCTCTGCCACCGGCAGGGGCCAAGCCTGAGACGACATCACCCCAGCTTGCCAGCCACGGACTTTGCAGCTCAGAGAGGCGAGGGGACGACTCTGCGATCAGCACTGACCACCCCGAGTTCAACCGGGGCCCGCGCGATCCTGGGGTTCAGCTCCCAGTGCTCCTGGCTCCCTAGCTGGCCAACGACCGAGCAATGAACAGCGGCGGCACTGACTGGCCCGAGCCGCGTGGCCCTGTCCCTGGTGTCGGGTCTCCAGTCACCCGGGGACGTGAGTGACCTGGGGCAGCCCCGTGCCTACCAGGGGCCATTGCTGCTGTCGGGGGCAGGGCAGTCAGTGGGAGAGGCAGCCCCTCCCTTTGCCCACTAGGGGTGGAAAGGCCGCAATAAGGAAGTCACCCGGCGGCCGGCCGCTCCCAGCGGGCAGAACCGAGGGTGCCGGAACGGGGAGTGCTGGCTTCCCTGAGCACCCTGGGCACTCACGCACGGGCCTGCAGGCCACCTCTGGGGGCAGGAGACAGCACTGGGCTTGAGTGCTCCCGCTGCATGGGGCCCACCCGAGTTCCACCCCCAGCCCCGCTTATGTCCGGAGCACAGGACGAAGAGGAGCCCCCGAGAGTCGGAGCAACAGTACAGCGGGGGCCCGTGCCTGGCCGACCTGGGTCCGGGCACCGTGGATGGTTCCCCAGGCACTGCCAGGAGTGATCGCCGGCACAGAGCTAGGAAGCCCTGGGCACTGCCAGCTGTGCTTCAAAGACCAAAACCGAAAAAGAACATCAGCACTAACGGTGTGGTTCCCAAACGTCCTGCCCACAAACCGTAAGAGAACTGTGGTCACGTGAGCAGGCTTCACGGGGCGGCTCGTTCCCAGAGGGGAGCCACCATTCTCTTCATTGTAGCTGCACCCTGGTTGGCTGCACCCATGGTGCTGGGACAGAATCCAGGGCTCCCACATGCGACGGCGGAGAGATGCCACAGAGGGTAGGGCACTTGCCTTGTACGTGGCCAACCCAGGTTCAGTCCCTGGCATCACATAGTCCCCCTGGAGCCCCCCCACCCCAGGAGTGATCCCTGAGCGCAGAGCTGGAGTGAGCCCTGAGCACCACTGGGAGTGCCCCGCTCCCCAAAAAGCAGGCGCTGCGGCCCTCGGAGCCCGTCCCCAGTATTCCCACTGGCCTGCTGGGTCTCCCTCCAACAGTGCCCGGAGGGTGCAGGGTGCTGTCGGGGCCAGAGATTCTGGGGAGCTTGAAGGAGGGGGGAAATGGCCCAGGGAAGGAAGAGCACCAGATGGGCAGGGGGAAGGGAAGAGTGGAAGACAGACAGACAGACAGACAGACGGGAGAGGAAGAGGAACCGCTCAGAGCTTGGAGGAGCAGGCTCTCTGGGGGGACAGCAGGAGCAGAAAGCCCCAGAAGGCGATGACAAAGGGGAGAACAAATGACTTGGGGGGAAAGCAGCCCTGGACCCAGGCAGGGTGTTGGCGGAGAAGGCAGGTGGCCTCGCTGTCCCTGGATACATAAGCAAAGCAAACAGCAGGAGTCCTTACAGGTGGATCTTTGCCAGTCCAGCCTCTGCGCTGCCCACAGGGCCCTGCCCCTCCCATCACAGCGCAGAAACAGGGGTGTCTGCCCCCTTCAATTCCCCGGTCCCCACGGCCAGTTGTGGCTCCTATGACCCCAGAATCCGGTACACTCACTAAACTGGCACTTCTTGCCTCCCGGGCACTGGGGTGGACTGGAGAGTCCCAGAATCTGGTCTGAGCTGGGAATGGACGGGGTCCCCATCGGACCTGGCCCCAGGATCAGGGACCGGAGATAGAGAAACCCCGCATAGTCCCTACACCACACACAAGCACCAGCAGGCTTGGCGGCCCCTCAGACTCCCCCAGAGGCGGCCCTGGGGTCGCCCCCCACACACAGACAGGTGCAGCCGGGGCACTGCCACTCGGGCGTGACCTTCAGCAAAGTCACTCCCAACCGGTCCCCAAGTCAGCGGGAAGGTGAGCGGCGGCCCTGGGCTTCTCCCTGCCCTTGCTGCCCTCCCAAAGGGCTCGGCGCTGCTCCCCGCAGCCCTTCCCGGAAAGTCAGGCCAATGGGTCGGTGCCCTCGGTCCCCGGCAGACGCTTCCTCCGGGGAGAAAAGCGACAGTTGCCCCCCAAGCCCCACCGCAGGGGACCTGCGGGGGCGACTCTCCGGGGTCTCTAAGGACTGACCAGGAGTCACCACCGGGGTCTGGCCACGAAGGAGTGGAAACCTCCTCGCGCAGCGCCAGCGCGCACATCCCGGCCGGCGCCCCCAGACCCCCAGCGCGCCCCTCCGGGTCCGCAACCCCCGGACCCCTGCCCGCCCCTCCCGGTCCGCGCCCCCGGACCCCCAGCGCACCCCTCCGGATCTGCGCCCCCGGACCCCCAGAGCACCCCTCCGTGTCTGCGCCCCCGAACTCCCAGCGCGCCCCTCCCGATCTGCGCCCCCGGACCCCCAGCGCGCCCCTCCGGGTCCGCAACCCCCAGACCCCTGCCCGCCCCTCCGGGTCTGCGCCCCGGGACTCCCAGCGCGCCCCTCCCGATCTGCGCCCCCGGACCCCTGCCCGCCCCTCCCGTCCTGCGCCCCCGGACTCCCAGCGCGCGCCTCTCGGTCCGCGCCCCCGGACCCCCAGCGCGCCCCTCCGGGTCTGCGCCCCCGGACCCCAGCGCGCCCCTCCCGGTCCGCAACCCCCGGACCCCTGCCCGCCCCTCCCGGCCCGCGCCCCCCGGACCCCCAGCGCGCCTCTCCCGTCCTGCGCCCCCCACCCCCGCCGTCTCCCCACGCCCCCCGCGGGCCGCGCGCGCGCGGCTCCCGCCCGGGTGGGACCCGAGGGTGCCGCCGCCTCCCCGCGGAGGCCGCGCTGGTCCCAAAGGTCCGGCCGGGACCCGCCGAACTGGAATTTCCACCTGTCCGCGGGGCGGCCGACCGGACGGCACCGGAGCGGCCCCGGGGCCCAGACAAAGCCGCGCCCGCGCCCGCCCGTTCCGGTCCCCGCGCCGCGGAGCCCCGGGACGCCCCCCGCGCGCCGGGCCCCCCGGTCGCCCACCTGTGGCCGCGAGCTGTACTTGAGGCCGGCGCCGGCCCGGGGGCCCCCGCCGCCGCGCGGGCCGCCCCGATCGCTCCTCATGGTCCCGCGGCCGCTCCGAGCCTCACGGGCGACGTCCCCGCGCGCTGCGGGCTCCCATGGCTCGGGCGCGGGGCGCGGGTTCCGGTCCAGGCCCGGCTGGCCGCCCGCCGAGCGCGCTGGCTCTTCCTGTCCGGCCCAGGTAGTTTCAGGGTGTGGCCTGGCCGGGCCCGCCCCACCTTCCCGCCGCCGCGTCCCGCTCCCGGCGCCTCCCCCGGCCCGGTGGGAGTCGGGGGTCAGGACCAGGTGAGCCCTCCCGCTGCGCCCCCGCGGGGGACCCTGGGGACCCCGAGCCTTTCCCTCCTCCCCGCATCTCCCACCGCCGGGCGTCCAGCGCGCGGTTCCGTCCAGGGGCACCCCGCCGGCCAGCCAAACCCAAAGCCCGGCGGCGGGGAGACCCGGGTTCCCCCCTCTGGGCCGCGCGGAGCCCCCTCACCCCAGCCCCACCGAGCACTGAGCCAGCCGGCAGCCCCCATCACCCCGGGTACCCCGGGTGGAGCTGAGAGTACCCCAAACAAGAACCCGGGGAAGGGCGCTGGCCTTGCACCTGGCCGGCCCGGGTTCCATCCCCCACACCCCACATGGTTCCCTGAGCACCCCCAGCAGGGACCCCTGAGCACAGAGTCAGGAGTCAGTCCTGAGCACTGCCGCCGGTGGCCCCCAAAACTAAGTGCTTTCGTATTTAGATTTAAGCAAAGAGGGGCTGGAGCGATAGCACAGGGGGTAGGGCGTTTGCCTTGCACGCCACCGACCTGGGTTCGATTCCCAGCATCCCATAGGGTCCCCCCTGAGCACCGCCAGGAGTCATTCCTGAGTGCATGGGCCAGGAGTAGCCCTTGTGCATTGCCGGGTGTGACCCAAAAAAGCAAAAATAAATAAATAAATAAATAAGTTTAAGCAAAGAAGCCGAGGAGGGAGTGAAGCCTAAAGGACAAGACCCGCTTCCCTCACACCTGGCCAGTACTGCCCAGCCCAGAGGTGCCCTCTCTGCGTTCCCCAGGCTCTTGCAGCCCCTGGACTCTGTCTGAGAGGCAGTCCTCACTGGATACCTGCAGGGGGACTCTCCAGCCAGCCCAATGTCCTGGGGCCGGTTCGGGGGTGTCTGGGTGTCCGAGAGAAGTGAGACCCGAAGACCGCTAGCATGAGAGAGGGGGGAATCCAGCCCCCGTGTCAAGTCGTGGAAATCTGCTTCTGTCTGAGACATGAGCCCCAGGGCAAACCCTGCCCGAGGAGATCGTGCCAGGCCCACAGGCGAGGGGCACTCGTGGGGCACCAGGCTGCCAAAGGTGCCCCTGGCTGGGCTCAAGAGGCGGTCCAGCACTTAGGAGCAGGACTTGGTTTGGGAACCCCCCTCCCCCCCCCAGCACAGCCCTCAGCCCATGCACCAGGGCATACCGGATGCTAGGAGTGGAGCAGGATCTGGCATCTCTTCTGCTTTTGGGCACTGCCACTTCCCTGTCAGGCCACACCCCTTAACGCGCATAAATGGAGGAGATAGAGGGGAGGGAGCTGGCCTTGCACACAGCCCCCCTCCCCACCCAGCTCCCTCTCTGGCACTGCATGTGGTCCCCGAGCACTGCCAGGAGTGAGTCCTGAGCACCACCAGGTACGGCCACCCCAAACTAAATAGATAATTTAATAAAGCCCAATGCTTAAAAATATTTAGTTTCTCTTCTTCTTCTTCTTCTTCTTCTTCTTCTTCTTCTTCTTCTTCTTCTTCTTCTTCTTCTTTTCTTCTTCTTCTCCTTCTCCTCCTCCTCCTCCTCCTCCTCATTCTCCTCTTCCTCCTCTTCCTCCTCCTCCTCTTCCTCTTCCTCCTCCTCCTCGGCCACCCCAAACTAAATAATTTAGTAAAGCCCAATGCTTAAAAATATTTCTTCTTCTTCTTCTTCTTCTTCTTCTTCTTCTTCTTCTCTTCTCTTCTTCTTCTTCTTCTTCTTCTCTTCTTCTTCTTCTTCTCCTCCTCCTCCTTCTCCATCTCCTTCTCCTCCTCCTCTCCTCCTACTCCTCTTCCTCCTCCTTTTTCTTCTTTTCTTCTCCTCCTTCTCTTCCTCCTCCTCCTCCTTTTTCTTCCTCTTTTCTTCTTCTCCTTTTCCTCCTCTTCCTCCTCCTTTTCCTCTTCCTCCTCCTCCTCTCCTCCTTCTTTTTGCCACACCTGACTGTGCTCAGGGCTTTGTCCTGACTCTGAGCTCAGGGATCACTCCTGTCTGGCTCATGAAAACCGAGGCTCGAACCTGGGCTGTCTGCGTGTAAGGCAAAGCGCCCTGCCGCCTGTGCTATGGCTCTGGTCCCAAGTAAAGCCCAGAGCTTTGGGGATGCAAAGACAGCACAGAGGTCACGGAGCGTGCCTTGCCCGTGGCCGGCCCACTTTTGATCCCAGGAACCACCTCTGGACCCCCGGAACCACCAGCAACGATCCCTGAGCTCATGCCCTCCCACCCCCGTCCCCACAAAAAAAATATAAATAAAGCAGCCACGGGTCAACTTGTCACCTTATGACAAGTCGTGTCAGACGTGTCACCTTGTCCCCAAATGATCCACACCGTGGCCCGGCCCCTGTCCTAACAGTGCAGCTCCAGCAGCCTCCGTTGCCTTCCTCGGTGAATTCTGGATCCAGCTTCTCTGGAAATTACTCCAGCGAGTAATGGGGAACTTCACCCACTTTCAGAAATGGCCCCTCAGTTCAAGTCCCGCCCAAATCAGCACATTACAAGACGCTTTGGTCTCTCTGGGACACTGAGAGGAAGGGGAGTGGTCACATATTGTCCGAAAGAATGAGAAGGGGCCGAGGGCATAGTACAGCCTGGAGGGTGCTTGCCTTGCCTGCAGCTGACCCAGATTCAATCCCCGACATCCTACAGGACTCCGGAGCACTGCCAAGAATGATTCCTGAGTGCAGAGCCACTAGGCCCTGAGCACAGCTGGGTGGGCCTGAAAGCTGGTCTAGGAGGTGAGGTGCTTCTCCTGTGTGTAGCCAACCCTGGTTAGATCCCCAGCACTGCATATGGTCCGAGAGCACTGCCGGGCGTGCTCAGAAGTCACTCCTGAGCACAGGGCCAGGAAGAGCCCCCGAGCACCAGCGAGTACGGCTCTAAACTCTGCCCTCAAAAAGGAGAAGGGAGGAAAAAGAACCGTGCATGGAGCCAACTTGTCAGGAGCCCTCTGTGCGGGGTTTTGTCACAGTGAGGGGTGAGAGCAGTGACTCTAAGGTGAGGGTCCACTCAGATGCGTGTGATGGCCCTGCGCTCAGACAGGATGCAGTAACCACAGAGTGTGACCTGCAGAGCTCTGAGTTTGGATCTGCAGCAGATGCTTAGAGGGCAGCGCAGAAGGGAACGGTGGAGGGGAGAGAGAGGCAGGAAGGGGGGAAAGAGAGAGAGAGAGTGGCAGAGAGGAAAGAGAGAGATGCTCTGGGACCACGGCTGATGCCATGGGATGCTCCTTTTGCGACAGAAAGGCAGGCTTTGGAATCTAGTGTCTTGAGGCCTATCTCTCACCCGCTCTTTTAAAAAACTTTTTTGGGGGCACACCTGGCAGTGCTCGGGGCTTACTCCTGGCTCTGTGGTCAAGGAGCCCTCCCGGCAATGCTCAGAGGACCAACTGCAGTGCCAGGAATCCACATGCAACGCAAAAGTTTTGATTTCTGGGACTGCAGTGATAATAGCACAGCGGGGAGGGCATTTGCAGACAACCCAGGTTTGATCCCCAACATCCCATAGGGTCCCCTGAGCACTGACAGGAGTGATTCCTGAGTGCATGAGCCAGGAGTAACCCCTATGCATTGTGGGGTGTGACCCAAAAAGAAAATAGAGAAATAAATAAGAAAATGGCAAAACTGTCATTTCTTTTCCTCCTACAAGTTTTTCCTTGCCATGTTACCAGAAAAACAACCGTCCCTGGGGTTGGGGCTGTGGCTCAGCTCTATAGAGCATGGGGCTTGCACGTGTGGGGGCCTGGGATGTATCCCCTGGAACCACAAAAACAATTCTTTTTTTTTGTTTGTTTGTTTTTATTTTATAAATTTATTTATCGAATCACCATGAGAGCAGTTACAAAGCTTTCGGGTCTAAGTCTCGGTCATACAATGAAACACCCGTCCCTTCACCAGTGCCCATTCTCCACCACCAAAACCCCCAGTATGCCCCCATCCCACATCCTCCCCCTACCTGTGGGGCAGACGATTTCCACATCACTCTCTCTCTACTTTGATTACATTCAATATTTTGACACCAGACCCACCATATTATTTGGGATTTTACCCCAACACTCAGATGGGTCTCATTCTCCTAAAGAGCCGTGAATATAATCTCAGGGCTAGGATGAAAGAGACGTTACTGGGGCCTGCTCGAGGCAATCGACGATTAACAGGATGATGAAATGAAAAAATGAAAACTCAGATCTACCGAAAAGGCAACACTAGACAATTTGTTTTCTCTTGCTGATTATGAATAGCATATGATGTCATGCGACTGTGGTAGCAGCCTCATGCTTTTGGAATTCTGAAATTTTAATAATTAAGTCTGGAGGGATTTCTGCCAAAAGCCGCTGGGTTTCAAGATTTGTTTCTGAGTCTCTGGGGTCATGGCTTAAGCCGCTTGTTCAGTAACCAGAGGGCCCATTCATGGGCAGCGACTCAGGTTACAAAAACAATTCTTATCTAATAAGAAGTTGGCAAAAAGGGCTTTCAAAATGATTACTGTTGGGGCCGGAGAGATAGTACAGCAGGGAGGGTGTTCGCCTTGCACGTGGCCGACCCAGGCTCCATCCCCGGCATCCCAGGAGTAATTTCGGGGTGCAGAGCCAGGAGTAACCCCTGAGCATCACTGGGTGTGGTCCCCAAACAAACAAAAACCAACCAAACAAAAAATTTTTATTGTTGTTTTATTTTGAGCCTCCCCTGCAAGTGCTCAGAGCTTACTCTTAGCTCTGTTCAGGGATCACTCCTGGCTGGGCCTGGGGGCACATATGAGATCAATTCTAGGTTGGCCATGTGCAAGGCAAGTG